CCTCCCGGCGGCCCTGCCTGCGCTGCGCCGCTGCCGTAGCTCCCGTGGCCCTCCGTGGGCTGCGCGCGGACGCGGGACCGCCGGGTCCTTCAAGGCCGCTTGCAGCATCTTCCGCGTGGGCGTGGCACACCCTCCGAACTGTGGCCGCCGCCGTGCGGGTCCCCAGCGCTGGGCAAATCTGTCATCTCACACCGGGGTCCCGCCGATGGCAGGACCCGGACCTGGACCCGGACACCCGGGGACCCGGACCCGGAGACCCGGAGACCCGGACCCCCGGAGACCCGGACCCGGACCCGGAGACCCGGACCCGGACCCCCGGAGACCCGGAGACCCGGACCCGGACCCCTGGACCCCCGGACCCCCGGAGACCCGGACCTCCGGACCCCCGGAGACCCGGACCCCCGGACCCCCGGACCCGGAGACCCGGACCTCCGGAGACCCGGAGACCCGGACCCGGAGAACCGGAGACCCGGACCCGGACCCGGGGACCCGAACACCCGGACCCGGACCCGGACCCGGACCGTGGCTCAGAAAGTGCGCTGCCCCAGCTCCGATCAGATTTGGAGGTGTCAGGCCTAGACAGGCAAAGTTCGCCCCCAAGGGGATTTGCTTTCGTCTGATGGAAGCAGGTGTACGAGTCGTCTTGTTGCTGTGATAAAATACCCTGACCAGAACGGTTGAAGGAAAAGGGATTAATTTTGACCCACGGAGAAGGAAGCCCGTCGCAGGAAGGAAGGAGGCTTGGCAGGAGGTGGCTGGTCACATTTCACCCGCGGAGAGCCACTAATGCTGGAACCCAGCGGCCTTTCACATTGTTTGGTCCGGGATGGTAACCCGGGGAACGGTGCCACTCACATCTATCCCCATCTTAATCAACCTAGATAACCCCTCAGAGGCCTGCCCGCAGGCTTGGCCCCCGGGTAAACCTAGATCGTATCAAGCTGACACTATTGACTCACTATCAAGCTGACATATTGATTATCACTATCAAGCTGACACTACTGACTGTCACTATCAAGCTGACACTATTGACTCACTATCAAGCTGACACTATTGACTGTCACTATCAAGCTGACACTATTGACTCACTATCAAGCTGACACTACTGACCACCACAGCTGCCACCGCTAGCTAACAGCTGACACTTCTTCCATACCCAGGCACCATCCTAAATTACCTTCTTTATAATAACACGCAGTCTTTGCAACTGTTCAGGAAGTTTGGTACTTCCCCGTTGTGGTTGGGGAAGTGAGGCGGATGGCTACGGAAATTGCTCAGGTACACACAGAAAAGGACCTGGGGCAGGATTCGAACAGGCTCCTATGTTCACGGCTCCCAGCCTTCACCGCTAAATGCCTCCAACAGTAGACCCTTACAGCCCTTAATCCCCAAACGCAGTTCGAACTGGATCACAAAGTAAGTGGTAAAACAAACGCTTAAAGCAATTTAAATCTCTGCCTCGGGTTATCAAGACGATACTGCGGGAACACACGCTGTGCAGCCCATTTTCTGAAGTTCATTCTCCCCCATCTCCTATCAGTTTCATTTCTCTCATCCACCTACCTCACACCCTCACCTCCCTCAAAGCTGAGTGCACAGTATCTCTAAGTTCTCATCCACCCGAGTTTTCTGAAGAGAGAATTCTCCACATTTTTAATTAAAACTCCTGTCAGCCGGGCAGTGGTGGTGCATACCTTTAATCCCAGCACTTGGGAGGCAGAACCAGGCGGATCTCTGTGAGTTCAAGACCAGCCTGGTCTACAGAGTGAGATCCAGAACAGGCACCAGAACTACACAGAGAAACCCTGTCTCAAAAAACAAACACAAAAACAAAAAGCTGGCAAGAAACAAGCTAAGCTGAAGCCGGGCATTTATAATTAAGAATAAGCCTAGCCGGGTGGTGGGTGGCGCACGCCTTTAATCCCAGCACTTGGGAGGCAGAGCCAGGCGGATCTCTGTGAGTTCGAGGCCAGCCTGGTCTCCAAAGCGAG